AAGACAAAAAAGGATGATTCTCGCCATATTCTCCTCCAGCATCATCATCACCATTATATCCATCTTCCGGGGAGTCTGTCAAATATCGAAATATGTCACTGTTCTTGCCCTGACGACAGACTTCGAGGTACAGTCATTTTTTTTCTAGGAGTACTTTAATCTGAGTGTTGAACGTACTAGACGGCCCTGTCGCTTCTTGTTTGCAACCTCCTTGTCGTAGTTACTCTCCTGTACCGCATCATTAGTTCCGCGGGTGCGGATGACTCGATCCCCATCGATGACGATGATTACACGACGCGAACCACTACGGGTGGGGTCTTCACCACTGTCGACTTGGACAATGCCGAGTCAGGAAGCGGTGAGCAGAGAAGTTCGAGGATTCAATCTACATTGCAAGGCGAGAAGACTGTCAATACTGTGTAACTAATGTTGAATTTAGTCTATTTTATTTTCGAGACCCGAAAACTCGAAAAGAGTACGATGACCCGTGATTGAATATTGCGGCCTGAGGCAGGGCATATCACTGTTCTCCCGTGACATCATGGCGTTAGAGTTGGCTGCCAACTATATATAGCTGTGGCGATCAGCGGTGACACCGGTGACCGGTGACTTCCGAATTGGTCTTGACTCGGAGGTGAGCTAAGTAGTAGTAATCAATTGTTCCAACTACTGGAGTAACTTTTTTGTTAGATCTTGAACGAAGTTCGTAGTCTGTGCTACCGAGTTTATCGAAGAGATAAGTCTACGGCAAGTTACATGCAATACGTGCCGGTCGCTCTCCAAGACAAGTGACCTGGTGGGTTTTTTTCACTTTGCTTTTTTCCCTGAAGGGCAGTGAAGGCAGGCACGAGTCACATTCAATGTACTTGGCAGGTTTCCCAATCAACTATCCCTGAATTGACACGTGCTCGTGCTAAGTACAAACACCCACAGCTTGGCCGTTGATCTTCGATGGGATCAAACGGCTCGTACGTGATTGGCTGGGAGAACCCAAAACGACTGAGAATGCATGATAACTTCATTATCAAAGAATAATTCCCTGGTTGACAAGTAACATAAACCCAAAATCGTTGACATCCAGGTATCGGTTGGGGCCTAATAGAACCGCTCGGCGGAGAACCCCCTAATGATTAACAACATGAGAGCTATGTTACAAGTACGTGTTGTACCTTGATTTCTAGTCAGACCAATAGATTCACCTTTGCCAAGTTGCCTGAGACCTTCTTGGCTCTATCGTGACCTTGCTGATCTTCCACGCTTTGTTACGTTGCCTCAGGGTTTATGCACAATTTAAGTCTCGAGCTGAATTGCTGGGTCTTGCATTGCTGCTCAGCGTACATCGATACACTACTATGTTACATACAGTGTGGAGAGGTAAAGTTGAACGTTTCTACAGGCATTCTAGCCATTCAAAAGATTTTCAGTCGTTTGCACTATCCTTCAGGTCTTGGGTGTTTTGATTACTATCCTGCGGCTCGGATATCGTGTGCGGACGCGAATGTTCTGGGTGGAGGACATGTGGGCTTTCGTAGCGCTTGCATGCGGGGTGGTGAGTGCAAGTTGTTGTATTTTTTATATCGCAATGATGACGAACGTCGAAGACCTCATTAATTGTTGGATGGAAAATCTTCTATGCTGGTGGGCAACATGATTTATCCACTGTGGTTAACACTTATCTTTACATAACAGATGGCGGCCGGTCGGCAGCCATATGTTTCTGGGCATACGGGTTTGCATTTCCATCAGCTATCTGGTGTGCATCTTCCCGTGCATCAGCGTTGCTCACTGAGCATATCATAAAACCAGGGCAGTCCGACAAAGTACTCTCTTTTCTGTGGCACGTATTTTCTGGTCCGTCAGGTCCTTGCGCTTAAAGACCATTGCAATAGCCCTCGGTTTCCTGGTGCTGTATGGCGCTTTAGTGGCGCAGAGAGCTTGGCAATATGGCCACGATCCTGATTGGTACCATCGCGCCAACAAGCATAAGCACGAGCATGCGTATTTGACCCACCTCGTGATTATTTTTGAGTTGATAAGTAAATCATCTGGTCTGAACCACATCCTGACCACTCACGATGATATCAACAGCGGACTGCGTTTCTGATATAATCATTGTATCATTCACCTCGCATCTTCTATGGGGCATGAGGCTTCCCGCGAAGGAACGAATCATGATACTGGCAGCACTGTCGACCAGTATCATTGTGACGATCTTCTCGATTTTCCGAGCTGTCTGCCAACTCAACCATTTCAGGATTGCCTTGAGAATCGCGACTGATCTTGAGGTATGAATTGCGCATCTTGTTAAGGTTGACTGCATACTAAAAACAATTAGCTCGCAGTTTCGCTCATTACATGCAACCTTCTGGTGGCCACAACTTACATTTATAGGACCGTGACTCGTCGTAGTGTCTCCGAATCAAAATCCAATTCGGACATAGTGTTCACCCAAGAAGTCTCGATAGCAGCCTTGACAGAAGAGGACAATTGACCACCATTGACTTAGCTGGTTAGAGTGGGGAGATCAGCCTGTATTAAGGGTTACTTGCATGCACTTCTGCTGGCAGAGCAGAGTTCAGCGGCAAAACGATATAATATGTACCATACATACCTACCCCTAGTTAGACCACATACATGACAGAAGATGGACTGATTATACATACGTCCGTACTGTCTGGAAAAGCGTTCTCAGGGAGGGGCGCACGCAGCTTTGATGATTCCACACGGCGTACATTGCGGAAAAGTACTGATGCGCACATATATACGACAAGGCATGTACACCTGCCATGATGAGATGCTACTGGGTAGGTATTTGGTAACATCCCGTATCCATTATGTCAAGATTGACGCGGGTGGGTCAAAGATGAGAACTTGAGTTGCAGTAAGAGGACGTAAAAGGCTGTACAAATATGTAAGATAGGATCTACACACTGCCTAGATTGTTTCTAAACAACATCAATATTTCAATCCCTCTAAGTCTGGAAGATGGGATATATACTAGCACTAGTCTCGTACCCCAAATCAAGACTGCACTGCTCAGCAGTGCTGCGCTGCCACGTACACCATCATGGTTACACGGGCGTGGGAACAATATTACCTTTTCGGGTAGGGTTCTGGAATATTACACGCCACATACAATGGGCGCCTGGTCGATGTGTAGCTTTGAAGTCGATTCCAAAGGTATCCTGCTCATTCAGAACAAAGCATAGTAAGATGTTCGCACCAGTATCTACCTTGCGCATTCAAGGATTAAGGAAAAATACAAGGTAACGCACTCGGATCATAAGTGATGGATTTATGATGGGAGAAAGAGGAAGAGAAACGTCCAAAGGAAATTACATCTGAGTCATGGTCGGAGTTTAAAATTGAAAGGTATATATAATAGCCTCGACCACGACCCTTCACGCAATTTTTCTCCCCGCCGAGATTTCCCACGAACTTAGAAGAACAAATTTTTGTTGTCTTTCCAATTGTCAATAATGTCCTTCGCACTCCCCGCTCGTCAGGTTACCTTCGGCAGGTCTGCTGCGCCTTACCAGCAACCAAGTCAACCCTCTCAGCCCCAAGCTGCCCAACCTAATCATGGTCTAGCATTACCCGGCGCTGGTGCTTATAGTCTTCCTGCGCCATCGAATCTCGCGCTTCCGGGACCATCGCCACTGTCTCAATCACATACCCCTCCTCCTTCACAGTCACAGCCTGCAAATGCAACAACGGTAATTAGCAATGGCACAACATCAGCCGCTGTGGCAGGTCCTTCGACACCACCGGTCAATGCTGTTCCCGCCACTCCGGCCCCTCTCACACTTGAGCAACAACACATTACGGCTGTGGAGGGCATCGTGCCCACGCTGCAAAATATTGTTGCAACAGTTAACCTCGATTGTCGTCTTGACCTCAAGACCATTGCACTGCACGCTCGGAATGCAGAGTATAACCCCAAGGTTGGTACTACTGTTTGACTACCTGTCGTTGCACGCCAATGCGCTTTGCACGATAGCGTTTTGCAGCTGTTATCATGCGAATTCGTGATCCCAAGACAACGGCTCTTATCTTCGCCTCAGGCAAGATGGTCGTCACGGGTGCGAAGAGCGAAGACGATTCGAGATTGGCGTCGCGCAAGTACGCACGTATCGTGCAAAAGCTTGGCTTCGACGCCAAGTTCGCTGAGTTCAAGATTCAAAATATAGTCGGAAGTTGTGACGTGAAGTTTCCCATTCGCTTGGAGGGTCTTGCGTATAGCCACGGACAGTTCAGCAGTTACGAGCCTGAGGTATGTAAGTGTAATGCGAGACCTTCATTTGCTCACGCGCTTTTAGTTGTTCCCTGGTCTCATTTACCGCATGCTCAAGCCGAAGGTCGTGTTATTGATCTTCGTGTCGGGGAAGATAGTGTTGACTGGTGCAAAGGTGAAGACCTTTGCTACATCTTCTCGTCAGTGATTCTTGGATTATTTCAAGATGAGACGACGTGTTGGTGGATCTGGTTCGAACCCTCCGCTGACACCTGTTGTTCTTCTCCTTTCCGCTAGGTCAGGGAAGAGATTTATACCGCGTTCAACACCATCTACACAGTGCTGTGCGAGTTCAGGAAACCTTGATGTTGTCTCCACTCGAGGCTTCGTTATCTTCCTGCCTTCCATCACACTACGGCTCGCACTGCACCGCTTGTCGATAGGGCCGCCCTGATTCTCGACGACTCTTTTCGATGACGGTAGTGGGCGAGGCCTATTATAAAAATATATTTACATGAGGGTCGAAAGGCCGGGGAGCAGACGTAGTGCACGGATATTCCTCCTCCTCCCTCTTCACTGATAATCATTTTCGCCGCCTTTCTCCTCAATTTTAATTGCAATTGGAACATCCACGTCAAGGCAATTCATGTCTTTTGAACGCTTTATTCGTTTTAGTAGAACATATGTTACGATACGCTCGTAGTCTGGGTTACAATGTATTACTGCCCACTTATACCACGATTCGTTGAGCCTGAGCACCCCTTTCAGAAGTTCAACTGAATCGATAACGCTTTTGCTGATTCGGCCATAGATATACAAGCAAACTACAGTACAACTCATAAGTAAAGACAACAGCACTAGCCATGCAAGAAGAATGTTCATAACGGGAAGTACATTAGGAAATCCTACGTCAATGTCAAAAAGGACATTCAATAGTCATATGGGTTCATCTTCGTTCTCTTCGAATTGCTTTCAAAAACGTTTCAATTTTCACCGCCAACAAGTGGTGCACGCTCTTCGTCCAAAAGGATTGAACCACTGACAACCCTGTACCGCTTGTACGTGCCAAAGATACCCATGAAAACCCAGAACGCAGAGAGCAATGCAAACGCGAGTGCAGACCAGTGAATGAATCCCGAGCGGTGAACATTTTGATGAGCAAAGATCGCGAACAGGGACCACGTTATCGCGAAGCTGGCAGGAAGGTCACCCTCAGGGCTGGAGAAAGCATATGTGGCCGCAGTCGCCTCAAGGAAGAACCTATACGACATTAGAATTCTGATGTATCACGAGAAGAACCTTGTTGACGTACAGAGCAAGGAATGCGAAAACCTTAGTCCAAACACCGGCTGGTTCAAGAATCGCGTTGACGCCGAATGCTTGGAACGCAGTGATAACAACAAGAACGGTAGTCCACCCATGGTAAAGGGAGAAGGGCAAGTGGACCAAAACTTCGTCACCGATGTTACCAGGTGCGTGGAACTTCTTCACCGTGTAGTAGATGTGCTAATATGAAAGATGTGATGCGCTGAACACCATAAAGGGAGCGAAGAGACTTACGGAGATAGCACTGCTTACGAACAAAGCAAGGACGAATGCGAATATATAGTGTTGGGATGCCCATAAATGTACGTATATCGCATTCAGGATGCCGAGGAGAGGGAAGCGCCATGAAATGCCATCAATTATTACTTTCTTGCCAGAGGCGGTGAACTGGTAGATGATGGTACCCAGGAGAAGCAAGTGGATGAGAGACCTGAGAGTATCATAAGTATTGGTTGTTAGGGCGGACAGTAAACAGCATACCAGATCAAAAAGGCCCATGGAGCAGGTGTTATGTATGTATCCCTGCCAGTGAAGTAGATATCATGAGGTGTCGCTACAGTGTAGACGTTGGAACCAAGGAAAAGGAAGTAAACGATGATGTTTGCAATCTAGTTGTTGAGACAGGTGAGTCCGACATGATCAGGCTAAAGCTTGAGAGACCACAAACCTTGAGCAAGATATCGTCTGTCCAACTGCCTGACATGTTAATTCTCTGATACTCTTTGTGAATGTTGTGATTTGCTTTACGAGGATGAAGGTACGGAGCAAGAGGGGTTTTGCTTATATACGCACCGTGACCCCGCGCAGTCTGACGACATGTCCTCGTCATGCAAGGTCACGCGCCACATCTGCCATCAACATGTGCCACATCAACGCCATCGCGGACCTTTTCTTGGCCTTCTGGTTAGCGCTTGGCGTATTTTGTTTTCAGCTGGCGAGCATAGTTGGAGTAGCTTGGTAGGTCCCAGTGCTCGATGTTCCAGTTGGCAGGCTTATAAAGTTCAAACTAGCTTGCTTTCAGGTCACCATCTGAATACGTGTAAATTTATTTGTGCGTACCGAATTGAAAATTGCGCTGCTTGCTACGCAGTTACGCCGCAGTGTGAATGATGGCCGCCCATAGTAAGCTAACTGACTTCTGCTCTAGCTGTATCACCCCCACTGGTTGAGTTCCCAGCTAGACATACTGGATTGTGACTAGACATACCAAGGATTCAAATGAATTGGTTTTTCATCCGGCACGTTCACTTCCCAGTGTGCACCGACGCACAACTGTTTCAGGAACATGTCACGAGATAGAACCACAGGTGTTATTTTAAGGTGATGACATCCCGCAAAGTTGTCTTCTATGACAGACAAGTCATCGGTCTCGGCCTTCAAATCATTTATTAATACTTTTCTAGGCTTGGATCACTTCGCAGGGACGAAAAAGAGTACCTCAAGGTTCGTCATACTGTCACTTGGACCGGATTTGTCTCGTGCTGGAGTGCAACCAGTGACACAGGGGAAAGTGGTGAGGTCAGTCACAACGCATCGAATACATCTAATACAGTTTGGTTCTGGTTTACTGGGAGTATCCAATCGCATCCACAGGTTGAATAAATCAGTAAGTTACTTACACGGACAGCTCTTGTTCAAATCATGAAAAAATATTACCATGACCCGCTGCCCGGGCCTCGATCATACACAAGCGAGTTGTCTTCAGCATAGAGCCTGAGGGTAGTGCACGTCCTAAGGCAGGCGGGATGCTCTCGCCTGTAGACCAGTTGAGTATGAATAATATCCCCAGGCAATGGCAGCGAAACTTCCACAAACCACAATGATGTGACACATCACGAAATCCATCGCGGTGTGGATAGTTCCACTAACCTCCGCTTGTGTCATCAATAGTGGATGGTGTGGTCACAGTTAGTGCTACACTATAAGTGACTTTGCAGAGCGTTCGAAATTCGTAACGTGAAACACGTCCTCCCCAGTCATCTATGTCCAGCTTTGAATACGCACCGCTCCTCGAAAACGGTGGCCATACAGGTCATAGAAACCTTTCTATCACTCGTCGAGTCGTCAACTTCATGAAAGGCGAGGGTGAGCCATCATGGACCCAATCGTTCAAGTTCTTTATTTTTGGGACATGGTTCGATGTCCTACTGGTATTCATACCTTTAAGCTTCATATCCCATAACATGGACTGGGATGTTGGGCTTGTATTTTTCTTTAGCTTCATGGCCATCGTGCCCTTGGCTTCAGACTCTTGGAAGACTGACACCATTTTTTTTAGTTGTTGGGCGAGGCAACTGATCAATTGTCCGTCAAATTGGGGGAAACTATGTCAGGTCTCCTTAATGCATCCTTTGGGAACGCCGTTGAAATTATCGTCGGCGCTGCTGCTTTACTCAATGGTCTGTCAACCTCTCTGAAGTTGTTTGTAACTCACGATGATCCCAGGTCAATTACGAATTGTTCAGATGTCTGTGGGTGTCTTCATACGGCCACTATTTGTGATATAATGACCTTGAGCTAGATGCTGGGATCGATCTTGTCAAATATACTGCTTGTCCTTGGTTGTTCGTTTCTTGCCAGTAAGGGACCTCTGTTCTTTCAAAGGGGAGTATGGGCTCACTCGGTATAGGTGGATTATATCATTTTTCAATGGTACTGGAGCTCAGGCGTGCGTCCTCTGTTTTTCTGTCCTTCATATCCTTAGTTAAATTACTGCAATATTTAGATCTGCCTCCGTAAGTTATCTGACTTGTTCATCGCAATCATAACTAACCCAGTCTAGCTTATGACTCTCTCGTGTATTAGTACGAATATTTCCTCTAACTCAGGAGTTTTGTTAATACTTCACAGCGCTTGTTATTCCTGCGGCGTATACAAGTATCACAGACGTTGGAAAGCAGAAATATTGCAGTGACCCCGACCAATGTCCCACTGCAGGTCTACTCTTTATTTCCAGAGGAACTGCCATATTGCTCCTAGGAGTTTACTGTGCCTACATTTGGTTTCAGGCATGTTCCAATATCTTATTCCTTCCACGTACTCATTCCAGGGTTCAGTTAAAAACCCATCCCGACCTCTTCATTGCGCCTTCTCCACTTACGGATGAACAAAACAGTGAGATGGCGGAAACGGAGCCTCGCATGGGAACGGCCGCTGCTGGTGTTGCGTATGTTTGGTTTTGTCATTTGATACATTGGGCGCTTATTATCGTTCGTTAGACTTTTATCAGTAACTGTCGTCATTGCATGTTGTGCTGAGTATCGTAAGTGTCCCACCTTTTTCCCTTGGTCTTGTACTCAACTGTTCGATTATACCAGTGGTTGCCTCCATGGAGGAAACTGCAGTCCGATATTCCATCCCGAAGGCCTTCATTGGTGTTGTCTTGTTGCCGATCGTGGTATGTTTCAAGCTGTATCCGACCAACTGCCTCCCAACATCATTTGTAGGGCAATGCTGCAGAACATGTAACTTCAGTCTGGATGGAAATGAAGAATAAATACGAGCTCACTATCACCATTTGCGTTGGTAGTTCGATTGTAAGTGTAGACCGTTTCTCATAACATTGTGATTGTACTGACTATTGGATAGCAAATTGCCTGCCTCGTAGTGCCACTTTTTGTGATTGCCGGTTGGATGTACGACCATATATTGCATATCTTGAGGCGTTTTTCTTACGGTCCTCTTTTTTAGCGTCGACCAACCCCTGACGTTGCACTTCCATAACTTCGAGGTCTGCTTATCCAGAACATATTCCGTCATTATCTATGTTTCTAACGAATTTTCAGACACTTGTCCTCTTTGTATCTGTCTTTCTGGTCAACCTATTACTCATGTCAGTTTCCCTCTTACCACATGGTCATTCCGACCTAACTCACTAGTTTCAGGGATGGGAAAGCAAATTATATGGAAGGTCTCATGCTCCTCACCCTCTACTTGGTTATTGCCCTCGCATGTAAGTTGCCCATTATTGAGCCATTTGATCACATTTTCAAGCATTCCCATCGTCGTTAGTTTGGGTGGCCTGAGTTCTAAAACTATTGGCGATTGTTATTGTAATTATAATTATTGGCGGTAAATGTTTCCAAACACGTTCCTTTCTGACTAGTATGCCTCCTTCGAAGTCTGTCATAGTCTGTGCGAGTCATGCTTTCATGAAGTTCCACTGAAGTAATATATGTATTCTGAGGAAAGGAGTCAGATAAATATCCAGTCACTTCGACGCACCAACTGTACAGTACCACGGTGGAGCAGGCCGAGGGGCTCGCAGCCCAGAGACAGAGCAACCAAGCTGGAATGAGGTGAAGCTACGCGACAACATGCTCGAGACCTAGTCTACACGCTGACTGAGCTATGGAAAGGGCCAACAGGCCCTTGGTGCGGAACTCTTGCCCTTGGGACCCCCTGATCCAACGGTACAAGCGATTTCTACTGGGAATCTAGACTCGTAACCACTCTTTAATACGTTATCTTCTAGAGTAGTATAAACAACAAAGATGAGATAGAATAAATGACAAAACTTCAATATTCTTCAATGGTTGGAGCACGATCGAGTACCAGGCACGATCACGATCAACACCTGTTAAAATTAAAACTCTGCTTGGTGTATAAAGCCAGGCTGGTCACGAGCCTACTAGGAATTCAATGCAATTGGGTGACTGTCTTCGCAATACGGATGTGTAATGGTAGAATTCAGAAATCATGGCTTTACCAGTGATCATTTTTTTTTGTATTCAGCGTTTCGAAGGGACATTTGTGTAGTTATGTTTGCCAGTGTAAACAATAAAGTGCACTACCGTATGTCCCGTTGCTCCTTGGCTTTATCAGTGATCATTACACTGCTGTGATGAGATATGATGCCAGAGAGATAGACCATCGACACCGTTACTATAGCGCCTTTGCGCAAGCGGTCCGGAAGGAAAGACCGAGACCAGTGGCATTTCTAAACGCGTGAGCTGGGGGGAAGAATGCAACAGGTACGGAGAGGAATGTAATATCAGGCGCTGGTGGCGAAAGGAAATAGAAGTATGCGAACAAAACGAATCATTCCTGTGACCTGTGCGACTCGGAGGAATCCGGAATGGGGAGCTTGTACATCATGGTGCTAGAATCTGCAAATGTTCGCACTTGCACTCGATGACTCTATGCATTCAACTAACGTCACGTAGGGACGAGTCAGCCACAGTCGATTTCTATGCCGTGCTGGGGAACGAACTTTGCAAAGTTTCAATATCTGCAAATAGTAGAATCTCGGATATCTTCGAATACCTTGGGCCCCGCTATCATCCAGTCCTGAAGAGGATCCTGTATAATCGATGCAAGTTCTACAAATTCGAGAACCCTGTAATAATTTTCGACGACGTCTTGGACGACACCGACATTGTCCAACAATGTCTGGATGAGCAAAATTGGACAGAAGTGTCACCGAATAGATCTTTGAAAGTACTGGGATCAGAACTAAGAAACGATCATGTCTACTTGGTGATTAAGCCTCCACAACTCGAAGGTGCATCACCACTGTATCTGTTGATAATTGACATTCTCATCCTCTGCTTCAGAGGAGACAGATAAAGCCATTGAAAATGTGCTTAAGAAAGATGAAGAGCTTTTTCGTCACTTGCAAGTCACTGTAGCAAAGCTGCAGTCATGGACCGCGCGAGACGTTGAACATAACCTGGACGGTGGCGCCTGGCTGATTGATGGCCAAGAACGACCAGATTCAATCGTTGACTTAGAGGATCGACTGGCTCGAACGCGTACATACGCTGTACCAAACGACGACCCGCCGTCTCATGCGGACTCTTCGAGGATGTTATCAAGTTCAAACCAGTCAATCACCCCAGTCACACCCGCTAGATTCATCCCGGATACGACAAAGGACCTGAAAAATGCCACCAGTTGCCAGCCACTTTTTGATACCACATTTTTATCCGCTGTACCCACCGAGGACCACCCCGTCGATGTGAATGATACCCGGGAATTCGCAGCCTTCTTCAACGTCCTCCGTTCTTATCACCAAGACTGCGCTCTTCTGGCGGACTCCTCCTCCTCCCAGAAGGCTAGCAATTTCACTGTGCATTTTATATCGCCGCCTTTCTTTTCCCATCGTAGTGAACATTTTAAATACAAGGAGTAAGTGGGATCAATTCGTTGTTACAGCCCAACTGACTATCACTAATTTCTCAGGCAGACACCTTGGGAATTTCCCATCTTCCTGAATACTCGGGATAATCGCAACGCCTGGTGCAAGTTCTCCCCAGCCAGCGATTGCATGGTTTCGTCTACGTCGTTTCTTTGCCCCTTCATGATCTGTGAAGTGGTTTCACAGAGAAGCGAGTCCAATCGATTCCGCATGCTAGTTCAAGGAATCGCTCTTGCGTGGGTAGGACAATGTTTTATGCCAAGCGGAGAGAAATTCTTCGTTGTGGCAATTTATCTCCGTGCAAATTTGACTGCCGAAAGATATATTGTTACCCAGCCTGGTGCAGACAGAAAGGTATGTCGCTCTGTTTGTCGTCGCTTTTTTTTTTCAAACGGAGGCCAGGTATTCATTGTCCAGAAAAATTTTGACCTTACAAAGGCCAATGAGGCAGTCGCATTCCTTCGTGAGATGTACAACCTCGCGCAGGAGCTCGACGATTTGGCAGGCAAAATTGATCCAAAGAACAACACACGCCTTGGCAACATCAAGATTGCCGCTTCCAAGGTGATTTCTCTTACGTCACAGGCTCAGCACAACAACACGCCGAGAACGACATTGGCCTCTGTCTTCGAAGAAAACCGTGAAGCCAGTGGCGCTCAGGATGATCTCGGCGTCTTTGATGCTGACGACATTCAAGGTATTTTGAAAAAGATGGATTACCAGATCTTGTTCATTGTATTTGGGGTGCGTACCACTGCCATCTACAATATAGTAACACTGACAATACATCTTACAGCATCCGTTCCTCGCCTTGGTGTCAAATATCGAGGATGATTCTCAACAAAGATATCTCAAATTCGTGAAAGAGGGGCAAAAGGAGGTCGAGATCTTGCGATACCTCACGGGAATTGAATCTCCCTCAAACTACACCATCTCGCCAGTCCAAATCTGGCCGGTGCATGGGGGTAACGTCATATCAATGCCTATGGCTGGCAGCCACCTTACCAGTCTATCCAACGCCAGCGCGCACCTATGGCCTGTGGCCGAGCAGCTGTTCAAAGCTGTTGACTTCATGCATCAGCATGGCGTGGCGCACCTGGATCTGAAGCCTCCAAATATCCTCCTCCCCGCCGACGGTGGCCGCCTGTCTATTATCGACTTCAACAGATCCGTACGCGTCAAAGGCACTGAAACAATGTTCCGCGGCATTGTTGGCACCACCGGATATCTTGCGCCTGAAGTCGCGGCTGGTCAAGGCCTCTACAGCGCGATCCGCGCAGACTTGTGGTCCTGTGGAAAGACGTTGGAGGAGCTGTGCTCCCTGTGTAGTCCATCCAGGGATCGCAACACGCTACTCGAAATAGCTCGAGAGCTCATGAATGAAGATCCGAGACAGCGACCGATGATGTCAGATGTCTTGAACAGGCTGGCATATTACAAGGTTAATGCCAATCGTAACGGCGGTTAACCGCCAGTCCCCAACTCCGCCCGGCTGTATCAGTAATGTCTCGCCTCGACTCGACTACTCAGCTCAGAACTTCGGTCGTACTGAATTTAATGCCGAAAAACAAGTGAGACAAGACAAAGGAGTGAAAAACACACAACGATGCGACGCGGCAACCACGAACCACTCAATAAGGCAATAACAACCTGACAGAGACGGGTACGTTTCTAACCTACAAAACCCTCCTTTGGGAGTCGGGGATACAGGACAAGGTTACTTCAGGTAACGTGCTCCATTCTTGGCCTGCATGCATGCGGCACTGTATGCGAGCATTCGTTTAATTGCTCCGAGCAGTTTCTCATCTGTCGCACCACCGGAAGTGCACGCTTGAGCTCAACTTGCTTGTATACTACGTTTACCTCAACTAAGCGGAAGATAATTGGACGGACGACTCGATGGCCCAAGCGCCCTGCATGCCAGTTATACCCTTGTGTAGAAGTAGGAATGTCAATCATACCACGATAGCAGCCTAATGTGCCCATACCTTTCCTTTGTCAAATGTTCTTAGCTAGCTAAGGTTTCTTAACTCGAGTATGCCGTGGACCTCAATCGTTTTCCAAGAGCGTGTGCATATATCGACTGGCCAGCAGTAGTGACACTGTAATGTTCGGTGAATTTGATGGCTGCCCAGTGCTCTGCAAAGAGTGAGTGGATTTGCTTTTATATTATATAGGATATTTGTAAATGGGTTCGGTTAAATATATGGTTTTGTTGATGCTAAGGCCCCAGAAACATATAACTAAGTTAGGTGCGCGGATCTGGCTTCTGTGTGAAGGTCTATCTGATAAGGGATGACGGGGTGACGCTTGCGGGGGCACACCCAACGCACCAAATCCATATCCTTCCTCAACCAATGGTCTCCAGATCGATTGGTCTGTTGGACAGGAGGGCAGAAATGAGGGGATCGTCTAGGAAGTACAACGCAGTTCACTTTCTGCGCGATAACGAGGTTAAAGCGAGTATAATGATATTGCTCGTTCACAAGCATACAAGACAATCAAAACGATATGGATACAAACGTGGAAGCGTAAGAAAATAGCTACACATAAAGTGATAGATCGTGTAAGTGGAGGCGGATATGCGCCGAGCTGAAACAATCAATACGAGTTATTGTCGAAACCCATGATGGGGGGTTCGTGATGATCAATAACGCCGAACGGGAAGAACAAACCCTGAATGCCAGTTGAGTAGCAGGAGAACCATGTTGTGATCTGTTGCTCACTCCTGCAAGTAGTCCAACCCCCTGGCGTTGTACTGTTGTGACATGTCTTTCCAGTGATCGAACTGGGCGGCTGCATGCTGCGGCTAGGGCATGACAACAGGCAGAGACATGTTGGAGTGCGCAGGGAAGCCAGTGTATGTGGATGAAGTCTGAGAGTTGTTGTACTCTGCCGACATCCAGGCGGAGGGGTCATTCGGATTGAAGTCTGTGGGATTGACAGATCGTGAAGTGGGAGGGGGGCAATACCAACGCCCGGATAAGCATGCGGAGGGAAAGTGGAGATCATCTTATTGAAGCTCGGAATTGTTGTGTCAGCGTCGATTCAGAAGACGAAGAACAAACGGTAATAAGTACGAGGCTATGTGGTTTGGCTAGAAAAGGTTGATTTGAAGACCGACAGCTCAAACAAGCCTGTGTGTATCGCTGGAAGAGGAGACTCATCGTGC